GTTTTTGGTTTCCCAGTGTGTATCAAAGGTATGTTTATGCTATACTGTAGTCTATTCAGTGTGCGATAGCATTATGAAAAAGTTTGAAACATTGCAAGAATTACCAAAATGTAACACAGAGACACAAAGTGAACACAGGATGTTAGAAAATGGTGCCAATGGAATTGCTCAACACAGGGTTGCAACAAAACCTCCATTTCTAAAAAGCGCAGTATCTGCAAAGCGCAATAAAGCGAGACACAATAAAACGAGAGCTGCTTGCACTCCCTTCCTAGCCCTTCCTCTCCTCCTAACGCCAGGTCACCTGCCCTCAGGGGTGCCAGCTCCTGCCCTCCCCCAGTTCTACCTATGGGCAATCTTACCCAAGACACTAAAAGAAAAAATGCACTGTTGTGGAGTGGGATCCAACTCATAGGCCACCCCTCCTTGGGTTTCCAAGGAAGTATCACTATGGAAGTAGATTGCCCAGTCTTCCTTCTGAGGAGTGGCTGGTGGATTTGAACTGCCAGCCCTCTGGTTAACAGTCAAATAAATGCCTTAGGCACTATGCCACAAATGCCACCTTCTCCAGGAAGCCTCCTTGGATCTCCTCCACCAGTCCTCTACCTCCCTAGCCCCATCTACAACTATTTTGGCCCTACTTCCTTGGCCTCTGTTGTCCCCCCACCAGACCGTAAGTCTCGTGGGAGCAGGCTTCCCTTACTCACCGATTCTTCCTCATAAGGCACCCAGCCCAAGCCCTGGCCCACAGCGGGGACTTTCTTCCTGTGTGCTCAATAGAATTGCCACTGGAGAAATAGTATTAATAAACTGCTAACCTTCCTTGACCATTAACGACAAGTCAGTCAGTGCAATGGGCACTTTAAGGTTCAAAGGGGTGATGTCTGAGGTCCAGGTGAGGGAGGACTTGCCAAGGGTACTCTGCTGGTGAGAGGCAAGGCCAGAATCTGAATGCAGGTTGTCTAACTTGGAAATACATGCTGAGTCATAGAGATTTGAGTATGGGGTCTAGCCCCTGGCTCCTTTACCAGTCTGCCTGGGTTGGAGGGTTCCAACTAGAAGAGAAAAGCTAACCAAGGAACTTGAGCTGCCCCAGGGTCTAGGATTCCTGAGAGCAGCTATTGCTGGGGCACCGACCCTGACCCCTTCCTTGGGCAGCACAAGCCTCCTGGAAGAGCCAACACTGCCCCCTTCCTTCCCTTGCAGTGCTCACATGGGTCTCAGGCCCTGCCAGGAGTCCAGCCCAGGTGAGTGTCACTGGAGTGGCCCCAGGAGAAGGGTTTCTGTTCTTGCGGTGGGCACAGTCCACTTGGGGCGACAAGGGTGCCCTCCATATGAAAGCTCTGACCAATCATTCTCCAGATGTGCCAGTGGACACAGATGTCACCATTCCACCGGAGATCTCACAGGGCGGCAGACGCCAACACGAAGGAATGACCAGCCTTCCAGACTATTTTGCCCAAGGGTGTCCTACTGATGGAGGTGAGGGTGGTGCGTGCATGTAAGTGTGTACACACAAGAGGAGGAAGTGCTCCCAGAGCTGGGTTGGTTAGCAGAGGCCCTGTGTGCGGGGGGAGCTCTGGTGGCACAGTGCCTAAGGCATTTGACTGCTAACCAGAAGGCTGGCGGTTCAAACCCACCAGCCACTCCTTGGAAGGAAGATTGGGCAATTTACTTCTCGTAATACCACCTCAGAAACCCAAGGAGGGGTCATTATGAGTTGGATCCGACTCCATGGCAATGAGTTTGGTTTGGTTTTGGAGGTGTGAGTGGCTGTCAGGGGGACAAGGGTAGAAAGGGAAATGAGTAGGGAGGGTGAGAGGTTTGGGGCAATGGATGAATATGTGGGTGGACAGATGGATGCATGGGTGGACAGATGGATGCATGGGTACGTGGGTAGATGGGTATGAGTGTAGGCAATGGATCAAGGAAAAGTGGATGGATAGAGTAAGGGAGTGGATGTGGAGGTGGGTAAATGGATGGGGGTAGGCAGATGGATGGATGGGTGAATAGGCAAATAGATAGGGGTGTAAGCAGTGGGTCAAAAGGGAGTGGGTCCTTGGCTAGGATGTAGGGAGTGGGTCACCAGATGGGTGGGTAAGTGGGTGGGTAGATACATAGATAGGGGTGTCAATAGTGGGTGGATGGAGGGATTGGCATGTGCACAGTTGGGTGGGTGGACCAAAGGGCACTCAAGAGATAGAGGACCAGGAACATCCATCAATGAGTCAAAGAACAGATCCATAAACTGACCAAAAACCAGCCAGATTTGGAGTGGAAAGGGTGCATGCTCCCTAGGGAGGGGCTGGGGTAGGGCTGATAGATGTGGCCAAGCCACTCACTCAGCAAAGGCTCCCTCTCCAAACCTCACTGGAGCCTGCAGGCCAGCCACTGGCATCTCTCTGCAGCTCCTCTGGGATCAGTGGGGGACGCCAAGCCAGACATTGCCCACTCTTCGCCTCTGCCTCGGCCCACCCAGTCTGCAGGAGTGAGTTGAGGGGGCAGTTCTGTGACTCCTTGACTATAGCCCAGGGGGCCTCCTTCCCCCAAGCCTGGAGTCCAGGACTCCAGGCAGACAGCCATCCCACCTCGCAGCCCCCAGCCTCCAGCTGGGAGGCATTTGTTCTGCATTCTGCGTGGTGATTAGAGCTGCGCCAGAGTTAACCCCTGCACTCCTGGACACAGCCTCTAGGCAGGGGAAGGAAAGAGACTGGAAGGAATTGGGAAATGAGGACTGCTCACCCGCATCCTCTGCAGGGATGCTGGGACACCAGCAACACCTCCCACCTTCTCTAATTTTCCAGAGGGAAACCCTGAGCTGGCCCCTTCAATCAGGGGTGAGCCAGGAATAGGGGTGCAGCCTTTATAGGGAGGGACAGGCTCCAACTGAGTGGACAGAGCTCTCGCAGTCTTAGTGTAGCTGTCTGTTAATGGAGGCAGAGAATTCCTGCCTCCCAGGGTTGATGTGGAATCAATGAGCTGGTAGAGACAAACAGGCTGGCACACAGTAGGTAGGTTCCTAACCACTGGCTGTTCCTCTCCTTTACCCCAGCCCAAGGGGTAAGGAGGAAGAAGGGCCCACTTCTCCTGGGGCTGTTTCTTCAGCCACCTCTCCAGGGCTTGCAACTCTCCTGCAAGCAGTTAATGCCTGCACTGGGATATACCCATTTTATTGATGAGCAACTCAAGGCTCAGAGAGGCCAAGTGCCTTGCCCACAGTCACACAGTGGGGAATCAGAAGGGCCAGGATTAGGGCTCAGGGCCTTCGACATCATCGACATCCTATCCAACAGCTTCTCCAGCCAGCTATTCCAGGGATCCTCTGAATAGAGAGTGACGTAAAATTTATTGTCTAACCAGATCACCTTTGAGAGTGAAAGGAAGTGCTATTAATACCATGCTGGGACAATAGGCCCAATCTGGGACCTTTCTGGCCAAACTGGGAAGTACAGTCATGATCCCGCAGGAGGAGGTTTGGGTACCGTTTGTAGTTTGTACGTGGTTGAAGCAACATCACCCTGCAGGGCTCTCAGGAGGATTCAAGAGACAATGCGCATGCAGTCAGGGGAGTACAGGGCCTGGTATGCATTAAGTGTTCAGTAAATGCTGGCTGTTGCCGCTACTGTTACTGACAATAACCACAGCCCCATGGGTCTCCAGCCTCTGTCCATCCTTCACCCAGAGCTTCTGGTCTGTTTTTCACTCACCATCAGAGTTTCTAAATGTTCACCTGAGCATCCCACCCTGGTTCCCCGTTCTCACCCCAGCAAGGTCAACCCCCAAAACCTGGCCCAGTTCCTTCCCGGCCCTTGACTGTGCCCACCACGACCCTCTCCCTGGTCCCTGCCCCTTAGCAGGCAGCCTTCCTCCTCGCTCAATTCCTGCTCCTTGAGATTTTGTGGACACTGTTGCCTATTCTCCATGGGACAAAACACTGCTGGTCGTGACCCCAGGGAGAAAGCCCTGGCTGACTGGGTTCCAGCCCTACTGTGGTATACTTGAGCAAATACTGGAGTTCTTGGTGCCTCCGTTTCTTCATCTGTCCAGCAGGGATGCTAATCCCCTCCCTCCCTTAGTGGCTGCGTGAGGACACAGAATCCTCTGGCCACCTGTGTGTAAACACGGTCCCTTATCTCCAGCCAGGACAGTGCTGGGGCTGTCTCCTACAGACACACCTGCCTCCTCCCGGGATCCTCAGCTCTGAGCAGATGCTCCAGCTGTGTCTCCTGTCAGGTGTGCGCGTCCACTACCCTTTCCTCTGCCTACTTGTCCTTCAAAACTGAACTCGGGTGTCATCTCTAGGAAACCTTCCTGAACCCCTTCCCCTGCCCTGCATGTGGGTTAGGGGACCCTCTGTACCACAGCAGCCTTCAGGACTTCATGTCTGTCCTCAGGCAGTTCACAGAGAAGGGTACAGAAAGGAGGGTAAAATAACAGGAAGCAGGGACCAGAGCTCATTCTCTCCTTCTTGAGGTTGGAAGGTCCTGTGTATGGGCGACGGCCCTGTATGTACACGCACACACACATACACACACATACATACACAGGAGTAGGGGTTTTGGGCAGGGCTCAGTGAAGGCTTCTGAACCCATCTGGAGTGTGACCTCATTTACTTGTTCAACAAGCCTCCTAAGTGCTGACAGGTGAGAAGCACCTAATACCATAACATTTGACAGCTGCTGCTGCATTTTACAGATGTAGAAACTGAGGCACAGGAAAGCTAAGTAGTGGTCAAGTTAGGATAGGGAGCCAGGCTGTCAGGCTCCAAGGCCCACAGTGCTGACTGCCAAACCACACCACTGTACAAGTGGCCCAGCGTGGCCTCTGCCTCTGTCTAGCTCATCTATGCGCTGGCCTCATGGGGCCCCTATCAGATTGAAAGGAACAGGGTTTACAGAAAGGAGAGTGGGCATCTCACTCTTGTAAATTTAAGGTCTAAATGGGTTTGTTGGGCATTCAGGGTCTCTGGCATCGAGCTCTCCTTTCCCAAACTCCCTCAGGGAGCAGCTGGAGGGCCCAGAAGCCAGAGCTATCCGGCCTGGGCGCAAGGCCACGCGGATGCTTGTGGAGGAGGGTGGTGGTGGCCCGGGACCAGAGTCCCCTCCCCGGCCGCCAGCACATTCCCCCGCTGCCCTGCGCCAAGCGGCGGCAGGGACCGGGCCTGGCGCCCTGCGCGCCCCCTCCAGCTCCGGCCACCGCTCGGGGCGACCAGGACGGTGTCCGGGAGGGGGTCCGGGAGGGGGTCCGGCCCCGCCCGCGGGGCGGAGAGAGGAGGCGGAGGGAACGTTCACACCCCGCCCCCGCCCCCGGAGCCAGCCTGGAGCCCGGGGCCAGGGCGGTGCAGACCGGCCCAGCGACTCTCGGGCTGCGCGCCGGGACGCGCCGCCGCCGCCGCCACTGCGGACGAGGCTGCCTTTCAACCCACCGCCCCGGGGCTGGCGGAGCGAAGGTAACCGCGGGCCGGCCGCGGGCCCTCGAGCCCTGGGTGGGCGTGGACGCCGCCGGCAGGCCCGGGTGCGCGGAGGCCCCGGGCTGGCACCCTCCTAGGCCCTCGGGGCCGCGGTGGGGGAGGGCGCCCAGCCACAAAAGGCGCCCCGGTGCCAACAGGAAGCCCGCTCCGGCTGGCCGCGGGAGGCTCCAAGTTTTCGGGTTGTTTTGTGGCGTTCCCAGCGGCAGGGGGAGCAGAGAACCGGAGGGGTGAGGGTAAACGGGGGTGCGAAGGGGGCCGAGCAAGGCAGTCTGCGCCCGCTCCTACGCTGGGAGAGGAAGAGACGCGCGGAGCGCCGGGGCCGGAATGCCGGGCCCCTCGGCGCAGAGCGCGCGGGAGCGGGAGGGGGGACACTGGGAGACGGACCAGGCACCCTGCCCCCCGCCGCCGCATTCCAGGCCGGAGCCGAGGGTGAGGTCATCCCGTCCGGTTCCCCTCGGGCCAAGGCAGCCAGCTGCCTCCTCCCCCAAGGAGCGACCCCAAATGGAATGTTTCCTGGCTTCAGCCTTTCCCACATTTCCAAGTCCTGCTGCCCTGGAGACTGTCCTATCCTTGTCCCGACCAGGCAAGGTCCGCTTGGGTCTAAGCCCATTTTCTACAGTAGGAACTGAGGCTCAGGGAGGCGAAGACCAGAGACCACAGCGGTGCCAAACGCGTGGTGAGAACTGAGGACTGGACCGGAGGCCTGGGGGAGCCCCGGGCAGCCGCTTCTCCTCGCTGCCTCGAGGACTGACTGGCTCTGATTTTGGGTGGTGAGGCAGGAAGCGCTCCGGTCCCACCGGTCGCCCCCTACAGCCCAAGATTCGCCTTCCTCCTCCTCACCCGCTCAGAGTTTTGGGAACTGGGGCCCCTCAATGTGACCGCAGCTTGTTACTCCTTTCTGGCCTCAGTTTCTCGGTCTCCACCTTGAGGATTTTGGACTTCAAGGCTCATGGGAGTTAACTCCGTATCCCGGGGGCCACACGGGTTTGGGGAAGCTCCAGCCTTAGCCCTAGCAGAGACCTGCTGTGGGGGGCAAGTGTCTCCCAGCTGGAAGTCGGCAGGGAGGGGGAGGTGTGCATGAGAGCTCTGGCCTTGAGTTAAGACGGCCGTGCTGTCTGTGGGTACCCGCAGCCTGTGGGAGACCCCCAGGTTGAGCGCTAGGCGGCAGACGTCGCACACCAGCTGCTCCCCGACCCTACCCCTCGTTACCAGCGTCTGCACAGTGCCCTGCCTGGGTCCACCTCCTGTGACTCACGGTCCCTGCCCCAGCCCCAAAGCTGGCTCTTGCCAACTGTCATCTCAGCACCGTTGAGTGAATACCTGTCATGTGCCAGGTTCTGACCGTCCTCCCAGAGTAAATATTTGGATTCCGCTTGAAAAACGGACACCAGGGCTTCTTGGTCACAGGTCACAGACACCAAATCCACAAGGTTGTCTTTCCTGCCTTCCAGGGCCGCCCTCCATGTGCTTGGGGGCTGGGCACCTGCCTCCCCCAAGAACCAGCCCCTGCGGGTATGGTCTTCACCCCTCTCCCCATCACTCACTCCGCTGGGCATAACACCCCTCATTTTCTGTTGACAGAATTCTAGGCAGGATTCCACCATGGCCCTTCCCATTTGCTCTCTGATCTGGGGCAAGTCACTCCTCTTTCTGAGGGAGCAGGTGTGTGAGAGTTCCAGGGCCCTGGGCAGGTACCCTGACCCGGACACCAGGGCCCGCTTACTCCAGCTACCAGCTAGGGTGGCCTGAACACCAGCAGTACCCTGAGGTCAGCACCCAGTGCCAGATGGTCTGAGAGGCATTCGTGTGAGGATGTTGGATTTGAACCTGTGGTTACCACACTCCAGGATCTGAGGGCTTGACTGCAGCACCTTCCACCTTATGGCGGCCCTGGGAGAGGCCCACCCGGGACCTACTCTGTTTCCACGTGGGCAGACAGGCTTGAGTGGCAGTGCCCTGCCCCTGCTGTCACCTTCTGCATCGTCCTCTTTCCTCCCTCCCCAGCCAGCACCCCGCTTGGCTTAGGGCACAACCCTCACTGCTGCAGCAGGCAGGGTGGAGGGGCCGAGGATACTTTTTGGGGGTGCCCAGAGGCATTTGAGAGGTGGCATAATGAGGAGATTGGGGAAGAAACTGGCCCTTCTGTAAAAGTGGCCATGAGGGTTGGGTGGGGGCGTGAGGACCCCTTGCTGGGAGGGGAAAGGTTGCCTCAGGAAGTGGGGCTGGGGGAAAGGCAGGTGTGGCCACATGACGGACACTGTGACCCCCAACACATGGCAAGTTCCTTCCCCCGAGAGATTTATCCTTGATCCCCAGTGAGCAGGGAAACCTGACCCCTGCCATGTACCTGCTGTGTGACCTTGGGGACGAGTCCCTTCTCTCCTGAGCCCCCACCATCCTTGTACCGTGGGCTAACCCTCCAGCTTTGCAGAGTAGCTGGGGGTTCACATGATGTCATGTAATGGTTGGCGCTTCGTAACTTCAACAAACATTCCACGTGGCCTTGTGGGTGCTGGGGGTGCCAGGAAAAGAGATGATTCAGATCCCCCCAGGGGGCGGAGTTAGGGTCAGGGGGAGGATCAGATGGTGGGAAGAGAAGAGAATGTGGTCAGGAAACAAAGCTGGCTTTGTCCCTTTGCCTTCTTTGTTTTTTTTTATCTTGTTATTTAACCTATTTTGAATTTCAAATAACATCCAAAGGGCAGCTTAGAGATTTTTATGCTTGGAAGTGGCAGTAAAGGTTTGGAAAAGTGGCAGGGTACTCCTAGGTGTGCTTGTTGAGGATCCTTATCAACTCTTATCAGCTGCAGTCCCAGGCCCTGGAGGTAAGTGACTTGGCCAAGGTCACACTATGAGGACATGGAGTCCCAGCCTGCCCTTGCCACTCTTGGAAGGTCCCAGGGGGTGGTCCTTTGGTATGAAGGTTATCACAGTGATCTGTGGTATTGATTTGGGGCTTGCTGGGTGCTGGGAGGGCAGAAGGCCAGCCAATCCAGGCGGCTGCCCCACCCTCACAGTGTGTTGCCGATCTGGGGAGACAAGACTGGGCTCCACAAGCCAGTCAAGGGCTATGTGAGTCAGAGGCTCTGAGTTCAAGTATCAACTAGCTCTTCTGATAGGACCTTGAGCAAAGTTGGCCCTTTTCTGGGCCAGAGGAAAACCCGGAGATCGGACCGTTGGATCATAGGTGCCTCTCCAGCCTGGACTTTCTATGATACTAGAAAGGATTGGGTCAGATGTCAGTAGGATCAGTGGAAGCTTAGACAAGGGTGGGGCTGGGAGGATGTTGGGGGGAAGGTCAGGAGGGGAGAAAGGCATAGCATTTGGCACCAGCTGAGCTTTTTCCAAAACCTGTTCTCTGCCAACAAGGTTCCTACCTCAATTTGACATATTATGATAAAAATCCTTTCCTGTGGGCCTTCTTAGAGCCTTGAATGTGCTCAGGCATGTAGGAGGCAGCTGGAAAAAGCCACTATGACCACAAGATCTTTTTTCCAAGAAGCACCTTGAAGGTGGGAGGTGCCGAGGAACGTCTGTACTGAGTGTACACAGCAGTTTTTGACACCTTCACCAAGGCACCTTCTCTCTTTCTGGCACCTCTGGGTGGGAGAGATTTTAACTCAGCATGCCAGCAGGAGGCGCTGTAGCTGGGAGCTGAAGGGCTCTGGGACTGGGAGCCCTGCTTCACCATTTCCTATTGGTGTAGCCCTGGGCAAGTCACTTCACTTCTCTGTGCCTCAGTTTCTCTTCTCTCATAGAGTGCCCTCACCAGGGCTGCAGTGTGCATGAAATGAGAGTGGGCCCTGTAGAGATACCACTTAAACTTTCTCCTGAGGTATGACCCATGTCTTAAGTGGATAGCTAGACGCATTTTTTTGTGCCTCCCTCGAGTTGATAAGGAGCTCTATTGCCACAGTGTTAAAGCATTCTGCTAACCAAAAGGTTAGCAGTTCGAACCCACCAGCCACTTGGTGGGAGAAAGATGAGGGTGTCTGCTTCCATAAAGATTTACAGCCTTGGAAAGTCTATGTGGTGGTTTTACTCTGTGCTATATTGTTACCAAGTTGGAATCAACTGGATGGTAGTGGGTTTTTGGTTAGGGTGTCAGTCATTCAGTGGGTGGGTGTCAACCCACTCAATGGCAACCACATTCCAATTTCTATCATCATTGTTTAGGAGCTCTGGTAGCATGGTGCCTAAGGCACTTGACTGCTAACCAGAAGGCTGGCGGTTCAAACCCACCAGCCACTTCTCAGAAGGAAGGTTGGGCAATCTACTTCCTTAGTGATACTGTCTCGGCAACCCAAGGAGGGGTCACTGTGAGTTGGGCCAACTCGATGGCACATGACAACAACATCATCATTGGTTAGTTTTTCCTGTTCTTGAACTTCGATCAGTGGCATCACTCAGTGTGTCCTCCTTCGGGTCTGGCTGCTACTCGGCATTTTCTGGGTGGGTTCCATCCATGTTGCTGGGTGTGGTGGTTTTTCTCTTTAGTTGCCACGTGGCCTACCATCACCTTCTTCTCTGTCCTCTTCCAGGTCTCGGGCCCGAGCAGGAGAAGGGCCATCCACGTGTGGGCCACTCTGTTCTCCCACAGAGCGTCTGTAACTGCTTCCACAGGACTGGGACTAGGAGCCAGGACTCAGGGAGAGCCATGGGCCCCCCACAGCCGCAGCATTTGGGGGCAGCACCTTAGGAGACCAAGGGGCAGTCTCCACCTGGCACCTTCCAGCAGGAGGGAGGAAGCTGAGAGGTGGGGCCCTGAGCCCAGCCTGTCTCTCTGTCCAAAGCCCGGTGGACATGGACTAGCAGCTGTGAACAGCCAGAGCTGATGCCAGGCCCTCAGGGGGCTGGAGGACCCCCCGCCATGAGCCTTGGCAAGCTCTCACCGGTGGGCTGGGTGCCCAGCTCGCACGGGAAGAGGAGGCTAACAGCAGACATGATCAGCCCCCCACTCGGGGACTTCCGCCACACCATGCATGTAGGCCGTGGTGGAGACGTCTTTGGAGACACCTCCTTCCTCAGCAACCATGGAGGCAGCTCTGGGGGTACCCACCGCTCGCCCCGCAGCTTCCTGGCCAGGAAGCTGCAGCAGGTGCGGAGGGTGGGGGCGCTGCCCCGGCGGGTGGCCTCCCGGCCCACGCCCTCACCCGCCCCGCCTGCCATCTCCCCCATCATCAAGAACGCCATCTCCCTGCCCCAGCTCAACCAGGCCACCTATGACAGCCTCATGGTGGGCAAGCTCAGCTTTGACAGCAGCCCTGCCACCTCCACGGATGGCAACTCCAGCTACGGTGAGTCCAGGGTAACCTGCCCACTCTCAGAGCCTGAGGCCCAGAGGGCTTCCGTGGTTCAGCCAAGTCTTCAGATGAGTTCTTCTGCCCACAAGTGTTGGCTCAAACCCCAGAGCATTGGGTGGGTGGTAGCAGGGGTGGGAGCCAGCTTATTCCCTAAAACACTCCAAGGTTGAGAGGTGAGGAGACTGACTTTGACTTCTAAGGGACCCTAATTTGCCCTGGGACTCTGGCAAGCCCCTCCCCTTCTCTGGGCCCTCAGGTGGACCAGCTCACTGCCTCCAACCACAGCGGTCCCCTCATGTGACAATGATAATAGTGGAGAGGTTAAGAGCCTGGCCTCTGGATTCAAAGCCTGCTTCTGCCCAATGCACCTTGCTAAACTTCAAGTACCCGCAATATCTTCGGTCCCCTACGACCATTGCAAAGATTTAGGCCCGGAGACTGGTACCTAGTAGGTGCTCAGGACACGTGAACTTTTGTTATTTGAACAAAGGTTTCCATAACATGACAGATTTGGGGAACCGCTTACATGGACCAAGGCCAGAGGCCCTTCCTGCCATGGCAGGGAGGGGCAGGGGCCCGCCTTGGCTCTGCTAGAAGGAGCAAACCTGGAAGCCATGGGCTCATACTGCCACCTGGTGGCCATTCCAGACCCTGCAGCTCTCCTCTACTGCCGAAAGCTTGCTCTCATGGCTCCCACTCCACTGGCGCACAGAGCCCCACTGAGCACTGGTCCACAGTAACCGTTAGCTCCTAGGCCTGGTAATCCTGGAGGCAGGGGGCCAGATCACATGATCTTTGAAGGCATGTGTTGTCCTTTGAGTCTGACTGCGATGCTGTCAAACCCTCAGTGTTGGTTCCATCCCTGTGCCAGAGGCTTGGTGAAAGGGAGACGGGGAACTCGTCCCCAGACTTAAGTCCAAGGGGGCACCAGATGAGGCTGACCATCAGATCACTCCCACCCCCCTAGATCGCCCCTGGGTCTTTGGTTACCTTCACTAAGCTTCTGCCCTGTACCCTTAAACTAGCCCACGTGCTGTAGGTTCACCTGCAGCTGTTGTTCAGTGCCATGCTGGGGGCTGGGGGGTCAAGGCTAAGTTCATAGTTGAGCCTGAGAGTCAGGAGACGGGAGCTGCAGGCTAGATGGCACCTCACCACATTCTGGTCCTGGGCAAGTCCCTTCCAGTCCCCAGTTGATACTCTGATTCCTCATCTGCCCAGTGGGAATGAGGGTGGTTAAGTCTGCTGGGGATTGATGGAAGATCACACAAAAGACCACAGTCTACTCACCCAGGAAAGATGGGGAAACTGAGGCTGGAGAGGGGAGTGACTTGCCAGAGGCCATATTGGTCCTTGCTCTCTCCTCTGTTCCCAGTTAGGGGGACCCCAGCTCTGACTCTCCCCACTTCTCTTCCAGGCCTGGACTCTGGGTTCTGCACCATCTCGCGCCTGCCCCGCCAAGAAAAGCCCCGTGACCGAGACCAAGACCGTGAAAGTTCTTTCCCTTCAGAGCCCGAACTCCGCCGCTCTGATTCCCTCCTGTCCTTCCGCCTTGACCTTGACCTTGGGCCCTCCCTCCTCAGCGAGCTGCTGGGGGTCATGAGCCTCTCAGATGCCCCTGTAGCTGAGACCTCAGCCCCAGCACCCACCGCAAACCCCCCAGCACCCACCACAAACCCCCCAGCTCCCACCACAAACCCCCCAGCTCCCACCGCAAACCCCCCAGCACCCACCGCAAACCCCCCAGCACCCACCGCAAACCCCCCAGCTCCCACCACAAACCCCTCAGCCCATGCTGCAAACCTCCCAGCCCACACTACAAACCCCCTGCCACATGGACACTGCCCCAATGGGGTAACCACTGGATCAGGCCCAGGGACTGAGGTGAGGCCCAACCCAGAGCGCGAGAGTCCCTGTGCACCTGCTGATGTGGCCTCCAGCAGGCGCTGGGCGACAGGCTGGGGGGGCAGCTGTCACTACACCAAGGTGGGTGCCCAGTGGGAGCGGGCAGAAGTGCTGCCCCAGGCACGAGCCTCCTGGGAGAGCCTGGACGAAGAGTGGGGGGCCTCCCAGGCTGGCAGCAGGGCCTCCGTGCCCAGCACAGTCCAAGCAAACACCTTTGTGTTCGCTGATACCGAGGAAGACGATGAGGTCAAGGTGTAAGGGCTAGGCCTGTCAGCCAGGGCATGAGGCTTGGGACCCTGGCTGGCCTTGGGGGCCTCCCATGAAGAAACAGGTGCTGCCAAATGAGATGGGGAGAATCTGAGTTGCCCCAAGCCCTCCCACACCTCTGCAGGACAGACATGGTAGGGAGGACAAAGGGGACCAGACCTGTCTGGGACCTGGCTGTTCCCAGTGGGCCCCACCAGGCCTCCCCCACTGCCACTGCACCCGGTGGCAACTCCTTGGGCCCCAGCCCCACCCCCGCTCCTTTGCCATCCCCTCTGTGCCCAGCCTCACAGTAAAGCCTTTGTCGGAAGCTGTCCTCATTGGGTGGGAGGTGGGGACGTGACACACAGGGCCATTGTCTCATTTCCCAAAGGGACGCCTGCCCTCAGCCCATTCAGGAGCTGCCCCAGCAGGGTCCCTGCTGTGTGCCTGACAGCCCTGCCCCAACCTGCGTTGAGAAAGGTCAGGTGTGACCTCACAGGGGAAGTATCCCATCCGTGTACTCCAGGCCGGCCTCTGAGGCCTGATTAAAAAGGGCTTTTTGATAAAATGTGCCCTGCGAGATGCTTGGGGACCGCCTTCAGCCCCACCTGCCTCAATACCCTCCCCTCCAGAGAGTTTTTAGAAGCCAAGGACCCCCGCGGGGCCCCCTAGTGAGGGTCCAGGCAGGTAATGAGTAACCAGACTGGAATGTTCTTGTGATAAGCAGCCCAGTGGGGGCCTTATCTGCAGTTCCGGGGAACAGCCTTGGCCCAGGTGTCAGGAACCAGCGTCTGCCCCATAATCCCACAGGGCTGCTTGGCCCAAGACCTGCTGTTGATAGAAGGCAGGTAGACACACATGTTCTAGCCCTTGATGACTAATCAAAGGGTTGGTGGTTCGAACCCACCCAGAGGCACTCAGAAGATGGGCCTGGCGATCTTCTGACAGGTCACAGCCTTGCAGACCCGTGGAGCAGTTTTCCTCTGCACACTGGGATCATCACGAGTCAGTTGACTTGATGACAATTAACAAATGCAGTGGCAGGTGCTTCTGGGGGGTCATGTCCCAGCCCCCCCCAACATGGCAGCCCTGTATCCCGTGCCTCAGTTTACCCTTTTCACCAGGATGCCGTGAGCATTAAAATGCCCGAAAGCAACAGAAGGCGTGACCAAGGCAGATTCTTTGGGTTGCTGTTAACCCTTTGGGGAGGAGCAGGGCTCAGAGGGGTGGGAACTATAGCCGCATGAATGGGAGCCAGCAGAGCCAGGAACCCCCTGGGCCGCTGTGACCAGAACTTGGTAGGAGATTGGCTAGGGTGCTTTATTCTGACGGGTGCCAACCACTCAGTGAAACTTGAAGGAGGAGATCTTGAGGCCCCCCTTCACACACAGGTAGCTCAAGTGGCTGTGGCTCAGTCTGTTGGGAAAGGTCACAGTGTGTCCATCTGGCAGCTTCACCTTGAACTGGTTGTCCTCAAAGGTGATGTTGAGCTGTGGGGGCAGGGAGGATGTCAGGGAGGCGGCAGTTACCCTGGAAATGGGTCACCATAGTGCCCGGTGGCTCACAGGGTGTCCAGGCGAGGGTCCCCTACCATCTGGGCTCTCCCCTTGACATCTGCCCCAGGCCCCAGTCCCCTTTGACCTCACCTTGACGTCTGACCCTGGGCTGAAGCACAGGTGATTGTCCCGATGCTCCTGGCCCCAGGTGCCATCCCGAGAGTTGCAGACGATGGTGGACTCCTTGAAGCGGGGGTTGAAATGCAGGTTCAGTTTCTCGGCCCCCTGGCCCAGGTTAATCACAAAGCTGCAGAAGGAGGGCTAGTGGTGAGGGTTGGGGTCACCCCCAGTGAAACGGCTTGGGCGTGTTGCGTTGACCATAGTCTACAAGAGTCACCAAAACAAGGGTGTGTGACTCAAGGTCTGTGCCTTAAAAGGAGGGAGGTGACAGTCCATTCAGACTTGGCCCTGGAGTGTCATGCTATTTGGAGCATGGACCAAGGCTGCTGGTAACTGATGGTTTCAAAAGCCAGGGATATCTGTCCTGGAGGTCAGAATGGCTGTCCTTAGATCTCTGAAGACCCTTTTAAGTTGGGCTATAAACAGGTGGAAACCTAATGTGGACGGACTTCCTGTCACCCAGAGGCGTGCAATTGGGGCTGTGTGACCCGTGGCAGCATCGTTAACAGGAGCCTGGGTTAGACCTCTGGGGTCCTTGAGAGCAAAGGCGTCCTGGGTGAAGAGTACCCCACATTCCAGAATCTCAAGGAACCCAAGCAGGAGCAATGGATCATTTTTCTCTTGGCTGGTACTCCACACACCTGCCCCCCCACCCCCCGCACACTTCCCAACCAGCAGTTGGTGAGGATCAGTTTCAAGAAACGCTGGCCTTGTTCTGCACTTGGTGGGGGGGGGGGCAATGCTGAACAGCAGCCCCCAGCAGCAGATACCTCTGGTTGAACAACAGCAGAGGAGCTGCGAAGGCGAATGCCTGACGCCCCCTGCTGGCTTCTCTTGGCTTAGCATGCCTGAAAGGTGGGCCCCTGGCCAACCAGCCCTAGGACGAGGGGTGTCCTGAAGGATTGGGTTTTCAGTAGAGGTGACTGCTCTCCTGGGGACTGGGCAGGGGTCCTCCACCTGCCCCTTCTGTGGCTACTCGGGCCAAGAAAGTGAATATGGTGTCAGCTCTGAAATTCTGAGCATCCCCAAACTCAGCTTCCCGATATGAGAGGAAGCAGGGGCGTCGTGAGGGCCCCCTTGGCCTGCAGTCCCTCCCACGGTCCGACTCTGAGGTGGCCATGGTGTCTTCACAGGGCTGCTTTCCCACCGCCCCCTGCTCTGGGCCCATGGGCTGTCCCGGCCCCACCCCTACCCTTATCCACCCCCTACTCACTCATTAGCATCGTTGGCAATCTTGCCCTTGATCGTCAGGGTTGTCCCCAACTTCATGTCCATGTTCTTGATCTCAAATTCTTCCTGAGTCAACAGAGAGACACCACTAGAACTGCTCCCAGGAAGCCCACCTCACTGTGCCCAGGGCTCTTCGATGGTAAAGCCCCTTCACAAAGCCCCTCCCATCTTGGCTGCAGGTCTCATATGCCCCACGTGAGGACTCTAAGGGAATGCTCCAGGCACTACTGAGAAGGAAAAGTGTGGGACACTCTGAGCAGGTCTTCCAGAGCCTCCCTGCTTGGCTTTGTCCACTCAGCCCGGCTAGCATAACAATCGGGGCCTCAGTTTGCCCATCTGTGAAATGGGCACAGGGGTCCCTGCCGACGTGCTAGGATGCTTGAGAACAACAGGTAGCTTCCTACAGCGTCTCCCAAATGTGTTTCACAGATGAAGGCCCTTAGCAGACCCCCAGCAACAAGGACGTATTTCGTGTCTGCTCCTCTGGAGGACGATGAGGCCGTCTACTTCATAAAGATTTATAGCCTTGGAAACCCAGTGGGAGTTGCTATAAGTTGAATGGATTCAAATGGACTTGATGGCAGTGGGTTTGGTCAATATGATTCCTTCTCCTTACTTCACTGGCTCCTTATTTTCCCCATTTCCTGGGTGGCACCTGAATTTATATATTGCAGCAGCTTCCAGCTTTCTGCAGCTGCCCTGTGGTTAAAAGGTAGGGTCTCAAAGCTGGGCTTTCAAGGCTCATTACCCAAGACTGCGATAACGTCCAGGTTTTGCATCCGTGACTAGAGGGTGGGGAATGATGGTATTGGGTGAACAGGAAGCAATGGGCCCCAGTGATTCCCAACAGCATGTGGGAGAGCACCCTAAACTGTGGGGTTTCTGTTCACAGAGGGAGCAGGGATAGCCCTGAACCAAGCCGTGGACCGAGGCTTCGCCACAGGCAAGAGCAGTGGTGGGGAGGTGGTCGGAACCTTCCCGCAGACAGCAGCTGTTACTCTACAAAGAATATGATCTACCGGCCCACTCACAGGGCTGGGGTTGAGAGAGTCTGCCTGGAGGCAGGGTGTTTTAAAGGCAGGGTCTAAGCCAACCAAAACAAACCAAACTCACTGCCATGAGTCGGACTCATAGTAACCCCTCCTTGGGTTTCTGAGGTGGTATCACTACGGAAGTAGATTGCCCAGTCTTGCTTCTGAGGAGTAGCTGGTGGGTATGAACTGCCAGCCTTCTGGTTAGCAGTCAAATGCCTCAGGCACTACACCACCAGGCAGTACTTAACCAGGAGTGTGGAGAGCTAATGGAGCCAGGCCAGGCACTATGATGCCTCAGGGGTTCTCGGCCTCAGCACTGTGCACAGCGGGGACTGGTCATCCCTTGCTGTGGGGGCCTGTCCTATGTATTGTAGGATGTTGGGCACCATCCCTGGCCTCTATCCACTAATGCCAGGGGCACTGCCCTCCAAGTTGAGGTCACCGAAAAGTCTCCAGACATGGCCGGGGACAAAATCTCCCTGCCTTTGAGAGAGGGAATCTGAAGGTGGGAGACTCAGTGCTTCGTGTAAGGGCTGGAGACAGACAGGATTCGGATGTCCGTTCAGCCTCTTATGACAAAGACTTCACCACTTGAAGATGAGGTTTATCCGGTGAGGGTGACAACCGTACCTCCCAGAGGGATGGAAATGACATCGCTGCCACCTAGCCAACACTCACAGACGCTGTGCTCTCTGTGCACGTGCCTAATGCCACCCGTCATGTGAGAAGCCCGAGTCTCCAAGTCCCCTCCGTGTTTTGCCTGCTCCCCACACGTGGGGGTGGGAGTTGGGCTGAGTGGGGAGAAGCCCTTCACTCCCTTATACAGCACCTAGAATCTCCTGGAGGCTGGTGGGCTGGAAGAGGACCCAAGCCCTTAAGGGTGGGGTGGGTGCTGCTCCAGGGTAGGGGTGAGAAAGGCCAAGGTCATAGGGGCAAGGGGGTTGTCTAGCCCTCCCTGTTGGAGGTGCTTAAAGGCAAAATGGTTTGCATTCCACTACTAAGCTAAAGGTTGGGGGTTCCAACCCACTCAGCGGTGCCTTGGAAGAAAGCCTGTCAATCTGCTTCCCATAAGATGACAGGCCAACAACCCTGTGGAGTGGTTCAACTCCAACACCTGGGGTCACTTGACTCAGAGTAGACTTGAGGGTAAAATGGTTTAAACGTGCCCTCGCTTAACAAAGGGGGAGCCTGAGGCACAGAGAGGCAGGAGTTAAGGCCGGAAGGGGGCGCAGTTCATAGAGCCCGGGGGCTGGGAGTCGGGAAGCCAGGGGTCTTTTCCCAGCTCTGCCACTAACTGGTTGAGTGACCTGAGGCCAGCCCCTCCCCTTTCTGGGCCTAAATTCTCCCAGCTATAGTATAAGAATTTGGACTAGGTGTTCCCTGGAGAAGGAGAGAGGGAGGAAAACAAGGGGAGAGGCGGGGCAGTGGAGAGGAGGAGGAGGTGAGAAGGTCCCCCTGTGAGACACACAGGACCCTCTGAAGGCTTGCATCCCTCCTAAACCTCACAGAGTGGCAGCTGTGATCCTCAAACACAGATGTAGGAGATTGAATCAGAGAGGGGCAGTGACTTGCCCAAGGCCACACAGCAAGCTATGGCACAGCCAGGTTTGGAATCAAAGTACCAGGGGTTCCAAAAAAGATCCACTTTACCCCTTGCAGGGTACTCATTATGACCTTGGGCCTTTCAATCTCTGAGCCTCACTTTCTTCATCTTTAAAAAGCTCGACAGATGTTTTTGTGTGCTGTTGAGTGGTTTCCAACTCACGGTGACCCTCTAGGACAGAGCAGAACTGCCCCCATGGGGTTTCCTAGGCTATAATCTTTACGGGATCAGATCTCCAAGTCTTTTCTCTCTTGGAGCAGCTGATAGGTTTGAACCACTGAACTTTCAGTTAGCAGCCAAGTGCTTAACCACTGTGCTACCAGGGCTCCTTCAATACATGTTACCAATAGTCATTATGACTATTGCTATGTAATAAACGAGGCTACAGGGGAAGAGGGGCTCCGGCTCCCACTGCAGATCCAGGATGGAGACAGTGGAGATGCTCAATGCTGAAGGGCCCCGGAGCTGACCCGTCCAACATCCTCCCTCTACAGATGGGGAAACCGAGGCCCTCGCCCACCCAAAGGCACGGATGAATGGGAAGAGGTGGGCAGTGAGGACCCTCAGACAAACTCACCGGCATGGCGACACCTCCAATGGCAGCTCCGGGATCCCTTGGGGCCTGGGTTCAGGGCCTCACCTCACAGTCAACCTTATATTCTGGAATATTACACATTAACTCCCCCAAGGCCATAAATGGAGACTTTGGCCCTTTGTGCCTAAATGTCTCCTGTCCCCCAATAATCCACACCCAGAACAAACAGGTGAAGCCTCCTCTCCCTGCCCAACCCGAGCATCCTGGGGCCTCCCTCCCCAAGGCCACCTCCCTGGGCCCAGCTTCCTCCTTCACAAAGGAGAGACTTGCTTTGCAAAAAAAAAAAAAAAAAAAATCTCTCAGCTGTTGGTTTCCTATGCTGCCCTGATTCAATTTGGAAGAGTCTTTGCTGTGTACTTTCTCCCCTCACCCCATTTTTTCCTGGATTTTACATGTAAGTTTTAAAAGCAATACGTGGTGGATTCAAAGAAACCATCTAGGAGGATCTACAACAGACTGTTAGAAGTGGAGAGGGGAGTGGAAGAGGAAAGGTGGAGGGTTAAGGGCAGGTAATGCCTTGTTCTTTATCTCCATTGCTTGTTGACTGACATGCCTGCGTTAGAAAATAAAAGGGAAGAAACAGGAAGAAACACAGTCCCCCATCAGCTTACTCTCTGTATCCTATACATGGGAGACTCCCCTCTGTCTATGCAATGTTTCCTGCTTCAGTCAGTAACATTACAGCCCACGAATCCTTATTTCAAAATTGTATTTGATAACAATGAAAAAAAATATGTATATGGATACAGAGGTAGATGTGTGTGTATGTGTATATGGGAGTAGGTGCACATGCATGTCTAGGGGTATGTGTCTACCTGTTTGTGTTTATTATACATACATAATAATGTGGTCAGGGAACACAGTTATGGTGACTTCCCAGGTGTATCTGCACAACATGCAGGAATGGTTTGCATTAAAAGGCTTAGGACTCTAGTCTCCTGGGACAACTTGGTCTAACATAGTTCATAAAAGAAAAACAACTGTATTTGAATGGCTGTGAAATATCACACCCTTCAAGGACCAAATGTATTCCACCAATTTCCCTTTGCTGAACAATTAATTCCAAATGTTTGCTGTGGGACTTCCAGTAAGATGGAGGACTAGGCAGACAAGCGACACACACCCTCTTCAACAAAGAAAAGAAAAAGCAGTTGACAGAGATACAGAAGATAATCCTGGAGCCCTGAGCTTTGAAAGGAACAATGCTGAAGTGGATTAGGCACCAACTAGTGGAAAAACCTGAACAAAAACAGTGAGTACAGAGACGGTCAGAGCTGCGGACTATCAGCTACTCTGATGGGACCAACAGCCTGAATATTTCCAAGTGGTGTTGGGACCTGAGAATTGACCTAAAGATCAGCCATGGTCATAAAGGGCTGCAGGGACGACTGGCTGGTGGCCTATGACTAGGAAGGGAAACAGCAAGGAGGGAGACTACCTGAGCTGTTGACTTTCTGCTGTCCGGAGGGTGCAGCCATTTTGATTGTTTACACTCAGCAGTCATTTTGGATATTTAAAGTGACTGAGGGCACAGCCATTTTGAATGTTCACAAGCGGCAACCATTTTGGATATTTAAAGTGATGGAGGGTGCAGCCATTTTGAATCTTCACAAGTGGCAGCCATTTTGGATTTTAAAATGATAGCATTCTCATTCGGATTCCAGGGACCAAAGAATAAGCTCTGTTTGCCAAGGTCGGCAGGGACATATGAGAGGCTAACGGCAGGAAGAGAGACAGGTGGTGAGTATATAAGCACTGTCAACTAGTGTGACAGTTGGATCTGTGTGTCAACTTGCCTGGACCACAATTCTGTGTGGTT